CGCCCCGCCCGCGCCCTGTCCTGGACCTCTGCAGCGCCCGCGTTGCCCCGCCTCCAAGCTCCCCACGCCTACCTAGTCGCTCCGCCCCTCGCCCTGGCACGCCCACGCCGGGTTCCTGGTGTCTGGGACTGGGCGCCGTGGGATGAGGCCACCTGAACGCGGCGGCCCAACCTGAGCTGGACTCCGAAGGAGACTACTGTGGGAGCACCTCCCATGTCCCGAGCTGTTACAGCCCTGGGGGGAGGACCTGCTCTGCTGTCCTTCCAGCCGCCTAGGGTGACTTGCCCTGTCCTGGAGCTGTGACATCTGTCGAGGGACTTCCCCTGCGTTTGGAAGCATGCGTTCTCTGCTTCCCTAATGCTTGTCCTCCTGCTCCATAGCCCCTGCTTGTGGCGTTCATTTCCACGTGACCGTAGCCCCAGTACTACCTGCTGAAGCTGCTTTATACTGCCCCTTAGGTCTGCTTGGGCACTCTTCTCCCTCTAGGACCTCCTCCCCCCTTGTCCTGTGCATGCAGGACTCCCAGTGTCCATTTCAGGCCACACCCTCTAGGCAACAGTGTCTTCATTTGGTGTCCCAGAATGCCCTGGGCATTTTCACCATGACTTCTTGCTGATGACACCTGTCCAGCATCTTCAGCCCAAAGTCCATTCCCTGTTTCAAATAATGGCACCCTGATGCCCAAGTCAGAAATCCACCAGTGCCCGTTACATCTTCATCCCTCTATGCTAAGAGCAAGTGTTATTGACTCATCTCCCCAAGTGGCTCACATCCGCCCCTCTTTCCCATCTCCACTCAGTGTTTCCATCTTTCAATTATCATTTCCTCTGACTCATCCCTTGGATTATTGGAATAGTCACACTGTGTCCTACAGTTAAGCTCCTCTTCACTGCAACCAACATTCCCCTCATGGTTTTTCTACCATAAAAAAATAGGATCATGATGCTCCTCTGCCCAGAGCTTTTACTGACCACCCATCACCGGTGGGGCTCCCCCTGGACTCCACACTAACCATTCCATCCTACAGATGCTCTCAGTTCCTTGAGTCTCAGTTGAATGCTTACCTCCTCCTTGGGTCCTTTCAGAACTTGTCCTTCCTTTACCCCTTTTGGACTTACTTCTATTGTAATAGTCACACTGTACTAGAATCATTTTTATGTGGGCCTGACAGCAATCGCCACTTCTACTCTTGAGAAATAATATGAACTGTGGGTAATAAAGCCTTTCACAACCTGCCTTCCTCATTGAGACTACAGACGCATACCTTCAGGTTTCCTGGATGAACAGTTTGGCTAAATCCTGACTATACACTTTTTTCATCATAAGTTTCAAACTTTCTACCAGTTCTCTGCAATTTAGGCATATAGAGGGTAAAGTCTGAAGCAGATGAAAAGATGGGACATTGGCATTGTGCTGCTAACTAGATCACAGTTGCTCCCAGAAAGATCACATGGTAGATGTAAAATGTATCACCTCTCAGAGTTACTGTCAGTCCTTGAGGGACATGCCTGGGGGTTGATTCAGTAACTCCTGACTGGGTGGATCCACATATATAAAGAGCAATCTTTGTACTCTGTGCAAGCAGAGGTATGAAAGGGAGTCCACCTCCTTGGAGTGCCAAGAACATTCCAGTGTGCTCAGCTGCCATCCAGCAGAGTTCATGAACCAGCACTGATGTGCCCCAGGCCTCGTAGTGCTGCTCTGGATTGAGGACAACTCAGACTTTGGGAAGCATGTTGCCCTGTGGCTAGGCCCAGCCTCCCACTAAGGACTGGTGCACAGTGTTCCATTCTGAAGAGCTGTAACCCGTGATTTCAGGAGCCAAGCAACAATGGAAGGTGTGGCAAGCCCTGACCGAGCCGGGTGGGGCCTAGTGATATACAGCAGGGAGAAGCGGTGGCTGAAGGGCCAACTTGGGATTAGACACCAGGCAAAGTCCTTTCTTCCCAGATGTATTAGTGAGGAGGCCAGCGAGTATTTCCTGACCAAGCCTCATTTTAACTTGCAGTCCTGGGGCACAGCCCAGTGCCTGGCACAGAGGCTTAACACGTGTCTGTGTGGGGAGAGGGGAAAGGTGGAAGTTCTCTTGACTCTGAGAGTTCTGTGTGGCCAGAGCTGCTGCAGAGGACTTCTGCGACCGACGCTCCAGCTTTGCAGATTAGAAGCAGGTGTCTTTGAAGGCAGCCAGGAGGAGATGTGATTGGAAGAGCCAGGCTTGGGGAAGAGGTGAAGGGGCCAGGGCCAGGAGGAGGAGGAGGCCTTGTGGAGTCATGGCGTGATCCGTGTGGAGGCAGATGCCGGGAAGCAGAGGGACACCTGAGGCAAGCGAGGCGCTTTCATGCTGGGATGCCCCTGCAGGGCACCGCGGCCACAGCTGCCCTCCTGGGCAGCTCACTCTTCCTGATGTCCTCCTCTCTGGCCGTCCTCCCCCTCCTGGGCTGCTCTGGTCAAGCCTGGACTTTCAATCTACTTCAGACGTGACCATGACGTGCCAATCCGAGCCTCCTGATCCTCGTGGTTTTACATCCTTCTCTCACAGCAAAGTGGTCTCAAGGGTGGACGTGTCACTCCCACCTGAAACCGCTCATGAGGTCACCTGAGTTAGGAATGAGATCCAGAATTGCTTCCAGGCCAGCAGCGCCTGAGAGTCTGCCCTTCCTGAGCACCGAGGGCTGAGTGCCGCGTGTCCCTCCTCCCTGCGTCCTTGAGTAGCCCTCAGCCGGCCATCTCCTCTCCTACGGGAACATTTTCAGTTGTTGTGCTGGAAGCAGGGTGCTGCCAAGCAGCCTACAGCAGACAAGGCGCCTTCCTCAGCCACGCGGCTTGGGACAGCCCCCGCTCAACGTCAGCCTCTCAGGAAAGCCTCCTGGTCCTGGAACCCGTTGGGCTCTGCCAGACCGCAGCCATGACCTGTGACCGCCAGGCCACTGTTCGCTCTCTCTGGGAAGATGGCTCCTGGAGGACCTGCTCTCCTGGTCATCATCCATCTGACAGTGCTGCCGGGGGACGTGCCATTCACCTGTGACATCGACTCCAGTGGCACATGTGGCCCTTGGTGCCTTCTTCAACCTGTCAATGAATATCTACCACCGGTTTCTGGAAGGAAGCTTGCTGATAACACTGTCTTTCTTTTTTTTTTTTTTCTGTAAAATCAAGATCCCCAGTTACCTAGAGAGCAGAGTGAGAACCTGCAGGGCTGCCGTGACCAGCAGCACCCTGGGGCAGCCGCAGCACCCCTGGGCCCCACGTGCCCTTCCATGCTGGCCCTAGCTCCTCACAGCAGAAACCACAGGTGGAGGTACAGGGTGACCAGGATCTGTCCAGGAGGTGAGAAAAATTGGGCAGGAAGAAAAGGAAGGAGAACAGGATTCAAAAATTAAGTCATGATGTAGTTTCATGGGCACACCAAGTAATCTGTTTCTTGAATATATTTGGAAGCATCTGGTGAACATACAGATGCTTCAGTTCTTTCAACTAAGAAAATCTCTGCTGTGGACATACACCGTGTTGTCTTTCCTGCCGTAGTGACAGACCACCCTGCTACTCACAGCTGTGACCCACGGGGCATCTCTCCCTCTTCTGGGTACTGGGACCGGCACACAGCTGCCCCTGGTAATGGGCTCCTTCACAGAGGTTTCCAAATCAGAGCCTTTAGGAAAGGCACCTTGTCTCTTGGACCATGAGCACAGTGGGTGTGAGCCCAGAGCTGCTGTTAGTGTGCGCTGTCATGCGGAGCAGCTGGCCTCCAAGAACAGGCAGAGGTGGGTGGGAAGGAGGCAGGGGTCCTGAGGTCTTCTGGCCTTCTGTGGGGAGCTGCCTGGTCCCTGGAAGCCCTGCTGCACGGCACCTTGTTAAACATCGACGCTCAAACTCATCTGAACCAGCTCCAGCTTGACTGAGTCCCACTGGCCAGGCGTCCCAGTGCCGAGCCTCTGCCGCCAGTAGCCAGCTATGGCAGAGGCCTCTGCAGTGCTTGCTGGTGGTCAACTTGGACCATTTCCCACCCCTGTGTCATTGGAGTTTGAAACGTCCTAGTTTTCTTGTCTATGAAAGTGGGATGAGAAGTAGCTCTTAGGTACGATGCCCCTCAGTGGTGCTCCAGATGGAAGCAGCTGCATGGGCAAAGTGCTCTTGTCACGGTCATCCGTCCTGTGTCACCGGTAACAGCATGGCGCTGTAGGAAGCCATGTGCAGCTTACCTGCTGAGTGGGTGCAGGGAGCTGGGCCTCGTGGGGTGCAGACTCCCATTCTCTGGAGGATGACCCGCTTCCAGTCTTCCAGATGCCCCATGACCCGCTTCCAGTCTCTGTCCCAAGAGGACTGTCCAGCTAGGCAGACCTGAAGCTCCTCAGCACAGCCCACGACTTCCGTTAAAGACTTCTCTAACTAACTGGTAAGAAATTTTCATCATCTTTGCAGCAACAGAACCGTATATTCTCTTTCCACCAGACATTACTTAACATTGAAAATATATTTTATGGGTTTTTAAAAATATTTTTTAGTTGTAGTTGACACAATACCTTTATTTACTTATTTATTTTTTATGTGGTGCTGAGGATCGAACCCAGGGCCTTGCACATGCTAGGTGAGCACTCTACTGCTGAGCCACAACCACAGCCCCATATATCTTGCGTTTTGAAGCTAAAAATAATCTGTTCTCTCAAAAAACTTGAAGACCTAATGTATATTAAACTCATTCATTCATTTATTCATACAAAATTCTTAAATTCCAGCATATAATATAAAATAGTGACTAGGCATAAATAAGAAAAATCAGAATTACAGGGAATTAAAGTGAGTTAAATATTAGGAATTAGAACAAAACAGCAGAAATATGCATGAGCCCCTGTTTCCACTTCAGTTTTGGCTCTGATCCGAAGCCACCAGTGGAAAGGAGGTTCAGGCCAGGGTCACAGCTGCAGTGTGCCTCCCCAGGCGGCCCCGGGGACAGGCTCCCTCCTGGCGGCTCTCCTCTGTTCACAGACAGGCGCAAGGACAGTCTCCACGCACCTCTGCGTGACTGAGCTCAAGGTGCACTGTGCTGTCAACTTTTGGGGAAAAAAAAATCCACCTCTCAAACCCCAAACCAGATGTTTGCAGTTAGCTGGAGTGTGGTCTGCGGAAGTTCTCCTTCATGGTTCCAATAGTTGTTCTTATTGAGACAGTTCAAATAAGGTCACTTCAAAGTATTTTTGACTCTGTTGCTTTGTTAGCCAACATAAGTTAATATTGAAAGTACTGAATTTCTGACTGATAGAAACGGGCTTCCTCAACCTTAAGGCCGTTAGTGTTCTGGACACAACCATGTGGTGCCTGAGGGCACAAGCAACTCCATCTTCAACATTCTTCATTCTTTTTTTTTTTTTAACTGGTTCCAGGATTGAACCCAGGGGTTCTCTACCACTGAGGCACGTCCTCAGCACTATTTTTTAGTTGTTCATGGATTTTATTCTCTGTAATTCTGAGGATGAACGCAGGGCCTCACACATGCCAGGCAAGCGCTCTGCCGCTGAGCCACAGCCCTTTATTCTTTGAGACAGGCCTCACTCAGATGCTCAGGCTGGCCTCGAACCTGTGATGCTCCTGCCCCAGCTCCTGATCCAGGATCCCACGGTGGCCATGGTGCCCGGCCACTTCATTCCCTCCTTGATTCCCTCTGCCTCACGCAGTGTCCTGGGCGGGCGGGCCGAGTGCCCATGCTCCCACCGCACTGCTCCTGCTTAAAGTGCCAGGGTGAGTGGTGCCTTCAGGGGCTGGAGCTCCCAGGGAGGGTCGTGTGGGAAAGCTGCGCTCCTGTGTTTGCTCCAGGGCTGCGCCCACCCCGGCCGTGTCAGGACTCCGTGGAAAGCACAGCTCGGAGCCTGCGCAGACCTGGCCCAGCCTCCTCCAGGGCTGCCCATTGCTGGTGTGGAAGCAAGCCCTCAGCTCCTCCAACCCCTCCTCCCCTCTGGGTAGCAGGGTGTCCCAGCTGACCCCAGCTGGAGGGCTTTGACAGGACTGGGCACTCAGCAGCCACTGTGGGTATCTATTTGCATGGTTTTTAGATTTTTCCTGACCATGTTTTCTGAAAGAAAGAATGAAAGAAATGGCCAGGGCAAGGGGTCCGTAGACAGAAGGAGTCTAGGGCTCTCCTCTCTCTTGGGGCCGCTGAGTGAACCTCCCCCTTTCTCTGTCCCCGAGGGGTGGGCTGCCCTGCAGGTTGTACACTGCACGCTTTGAGGGGCAGTGTCCTTCTGCAGGAGCTGCTTGGCCCTGGTCGGTGCCAGGAGCTGAGTGCTGCACGCAGCCTGTCCCACCTCAGCAGCCCGACCTGTGAGCCCTCCAGAGCCGTGGGCACACCGGGCCCTTGGGGAAGAGACGTCCCCTCAGCATGCTCTCTGGGCAGAGCCAGGGGAATGCAGGCCGGTGACAAGGAGCCAAGAGGCCCTGGCTGTCCCAGCAGCCCTGGAGCCAAGGCCGGAGACAGGCAGGCCTTCACCATCACGCTGCGCTCCGGTGTGAGGATCACCGGTCTGGAGTCTTCTACCCATCTTCCTGATTCCAGAACTGGAAAGGGCCTCAGAGTCCTACTTGTTAAGATCCCTTGCTGCGTGGCTGGGGATGTGGCTCAAGCGGT